TTGCTACTACCAAAAAAATATATAATGCACTCAATCCTTTGGATAATGAAAATCCATTACGTAATTCAATTAATTCGATTTCGGAAAATTCCCATTACACGAAATTACGAAATCACGTAATAATTACAGCATTGAATTTCGTCAACTCTTCCATTTCAATCTGCAATCAAAAAAACTATAGAACAGAACTTTGTAACTCTAAATGTATTCCTTCGGATTTCTCAAACACTGATTTTACTAAAATTTTTCTATCAAATTCAGCCTTTATCTATTTTTTAATTCTTAACAGTAGCTTAATTAATAATCCTTCGGATCTCAAACTTATAAATAGTGTAAATAAGTCAAATAACCAAATTGTAGTAAATCCTTCCACTTCCGAGATACAGGTCTCTATCGATTTTCAAATTTCCTCAGAACACAAGAAATTAGTAACTAAATTCCGAGAAAACCTCAAGTTACCTGAAAGACCTTTGGATTTAAATACATTATTCAATGCAAAATTGGTCGCCTTATTAACGGAAGATGATGAATTGTTAAACCCAATTGTGAAAGCTCTACCGAAAAAAGTAGATAACATCAACGCAAATTCCCGTTACTTACACCAATTTTCGAAAGACCTTCATGAATCCGACGGACTATTATATATGGATGGAAAATTGGTTATTCCGTTTACACTTAGAAACGCCGTTTTAAAAACCTTCCATGAATCTCACCCTGGCCAATTCGGCATGAAATACTTGGCACAATACATTTGGTGGCCACACATATATCGACAAATTTACTTCCACGGGATTAATTGCACACAATGCACTCAAACCGGTAAGAATATAAAAAGCATCATACCAACTACACAAATTAGCGAACTTCCCACCTTATTCGAACCTAATGAGGAAATAAATCTTGATTTTGCCGGCCCACTAGATAACAACTGGGGAAACAATAAATACATCTTATTGTGTATAGACCGTTTTTCAAAATTCCCTTCAGCAAAAATTACGTCTTCAACGTCATCAAACACAGTAATCGAATTTCTTCAAGATTATTTCTATCTCCGTGGGATTCCAAAATCTATTGGGGTCGACCACGCATCCTGCTTTACTAGTCAGGATTTTAAATTATTTTGCAATTCTCTTAATATCAAACTAATATTTTGTACAGTTGGGGACCATCGTTCTAACGGTCTTGTAGAAAAACTTGTTCATACTGTAAAAATAAAATTATTCGCAATGTCATTTTGATCAACAAAAACCTACATTACAAACCGCCATTTCGAAAATCATTTGGAATCTACGATCTTCCTTCCAATCTAAAATTAAATGCTCACCGTTCGAAATACACTTTAATAGAAAACCGAACACGATCTGGAAGCAATTGGCATCTAATAATTTATCCGGTGGATTTTTAGACAAAGGGAAGTCGATCTTAAGCAGAGAAAGGGCCCTCGACTGGAACGCTGACGATCGGATAGAGGACGGATACAAAGACTCCCTCATACCGAAAAAGAACCAGTCACCATTGGAGAAAGGCTATGATTCAGACCTTCCTACTACTTCAAAACCTTCATCATCCCGAGTGTCCTTAAACAGTCCGTTTAAAGGTAAATTACTACGGAAAACTAACGGAAGTATAAACGGAAATCCCTTCTATAAACAACTAGGCCAGAAAATAATAAACTCAACAAAATCCACGGTTGAATTATCCGACGGAAAAATTATTAGAAAGTCGGACATCGCCATTCCAAAGTCTAAATCCTCTACAATTCGTTCATTCAAAGGAAATATCTCCTTTCCTTTTTTCTCTAACGGTGATTTACAAGTAGGTCCAAGAAAGTCATACAAATCGAAGACACAACAGACGCGGAAACCAGACACTAAGACAGGAAGACACACAGAGTCGTTCACGCCGGTCACCACCAGATCTAGAGGAACGAACCAGCCTTCAAAATCCAACAAATCGAAGAAGAACCGAAATAAAGCCTCGACGTCGAATACTGGATATTTAGCAGGTGACGAATCCATGTTCATTCCGTCGGATACGTCGGACATTAGCGATTGAGAATGGATTGCGGGAGGTTTTCCATGTAGAGAAATGATAAGAAAACGCTTCATTTCAGATAACGATAATTTTAACAAAGAACCTACCTCATCATTAGACCCTAAAACATATCAAACTAATATAAAACCTGAGATTTTAGACGAACAACCTCAACCCTCAGACACAGCGGAATGCCCAATTAGTATAAAACCAGCACCTCAAACTACCTCACACCCACCTGACGAACCTTCTACGGCTACGACAACGGAGACCCCAAACATTCCTTTGGATTTGACAAAACCATTGGTAGGAGGAAAACCGGTCGATTTCCCAGTTTTCGAGATAGAGGACTCCTCCTATGAAATTGGAACCAGCGAGGAAAGACATCCTAAGGAAACTACTACCACCGGTAACGAACTTATTTTAAGACGTTCAAGTCGAAATGTTGGTCCCCCACAATTCTATGGTAAGCGATATTACATAGATATTATAGATGAGTTAGAAAACCAACCAGGCTCCGCTATTAACCCTATATCTCTGGACGAGGATGACAGCTCGAGCTCCCCCACACAATCATTCAGAGAGAATCCCTTGGATAATCAGACCCACATCTGCAACACACTACCGGAAGACAGTACACCGGACCTAGCATACACCCAATCTCCCGATCAATTCTCCATCGCCTCTACCGACGATTCTCTGAGAGATGCCGTGAACTGTTTTGAAAATTACATCGACTTAGATAGTGAAATTTTCAACGCCGAGCTAGAAAAATTCATGGAAGGGGACAGCTAAACTCAATCAAACTTCAAAACTCGCATTTAGTCATTTAATTTGTACTAGTATTTCGTCTAAGCGTAATTAGAGCTTACCTAGCTGTAACTACGGATTACAATCCGCCGGATTTAGGAATTTTATTATCCTCTCTAATTCAGTAATTCCTTCGGAGCACTAAAATTACATTTGTTACACCGTGCAGTTTTTAAATTTTCATTTTGTCGGACTTCTCGAGAGGGAGAAAAAGGGTTAGATAACATGTTAGGTATCGTGGCGCTTAGTACTTTAATTTTTTTACCCACTAAGGGGAATGTTGTAATTCTTACCATTCGTTTTATTTCACTAATTACTTTTAAAGTATCTTAACTGGTTAATCTTGATTTGACCTTGCTATCTTCATTCTCTCCGACGGAGAGAATGACCGTTCACTTTTTTAATGTTTTAACTTAGAGATTAATTCACTTTTTAAACATATCTTATTTGTAACTAAGTAGAATTAACCGTAACAAAGGAACATTTTATCACTTTCGAAGAAAGTGAAGAATCTGTGTACCGAGCTAACATCCGATATCAAACACCTGAAAATCTAAATAATTATGCAATCATGCTAAAAACAGCTAAGCAAGGGCGAGTATCCGACATTTTTCAGAAATTTTGATGAAGATTTGATTTCTACCATTTGCTAAAAACGCCGTATTGCCCGAATTAATACATACCACCGCAGTCGAGACAATGTGATGCAAAGTAGTCAAAAGAGGGTTGGACTCTGTATGGAAATTATAGACCGTTATTGCCGCAAAACGGCGACGTACGCGAAGTGCGCTCACTAGCAGCCTAAAGCCGTAAATCGGCTAAATTAGGAATCGGTTAATTGAAATAGGTCCTGTTTTTAAACTTCAAACCCCAAAACAATTACGCAATTATTATATAATTTCGGATGTTTGACATTGCGATGTTTGAAATACCGGATCTTTTCCTAGAACTGAAAATAACTATGCTGGGGTGGTTTTTATTCAGACCAATTTTCGACAGAATTTTTTCTCTCGGGGTAACAAGACGTGGGTCTTCGTCGTCCCCGCCCTGTTCGCAGACTGTTATATTAATCTAACACGAATCTATTAAAACTGATCTTTTTACATTTTGATGCTGCAACTGTATTCAAGCGGGGCAAAATATCCTGCAGTACAAAATTAGGCTCTTTACCTTGACCACCACCACCTTTCAATTACAGTTTTCACAAACTACTTTAAGGTTGTCGTAATTCAATAAAACTTGGTTTGGCGAGCAATTGAACCATAGTGACCAAATGTATTCCTTATACTTCAAATCTTAATATCACACGTTTAGCCAGAATAGCACGTAAAACAACTATTTGTTGAAACAGAAATTTTTAATGGTGGGTGGAAGTGCAAAAAAGCCTAAAATTGAAAATGAATAGAGGTAAGCCAATTGGTCTTATTACAATTCAATACCCGAATCAAGTTTTATCAATTGAAGTTTTATATTATCAGCCTAAAATTAATTGTTTGTCATTATTTAGTTAACTAAAAACTACTCAAGACCATTTAAGGGGCCGTCGGATTTTTCAGGGCTTTGCCCTGAATCGAGCAATCTTTTTGAGTGTATATATTGGCTTTGAAATGGTTCATCTAGCAAAAGTCATGAACTATGGTTTTTCTTTAGGCACAAAACTAATTTTGTGTGACGCATTATCTTGGTCTGGCTCTCATGTATCCAAAAATTGGTGGTAGCACCAAATGTTAAAAAAAATGTTTTTTTTGTTGCATTGGGATTCAATCGATTTTTCCGGTTTGTTAATTAATACTTTTTGCTGAGAATGACTGTTGTCTAGCAAAGATTCCGTGTCTAGTAAAATAATACGCAGACCAAATAGCGTGCCTCATTTTGGAAAACTTTTTTTACAAACATTCAAGAAACTGAATTTAAAACAAAGAACTAAATGAAAAAATTTTAAAAAAAAACAAAGCACTACCCTGGTCACAACTACTTTGTCACTCATTCGAATATTGGAAAAAACAGGTAAAATGTAGTGTTAAATTTGAATTTTTGAACTATTTCATCACTTGCATCACTTAGTATTGGCGAGACTGGCGCGAATTTCACGAGCCAAGTCTGTATTCTTTTATGTGGATTTCACCTGAACAGCTTAAACTGTTTTTGTGTTTTAGCTCTGAAAAAGACATAGCAATTTATTCTCATCTTTTGAAACATCCCGGCATGCGTTTCTTTCCGTTCGGCTTCGAAAATTTTGTCATCATTAGTCGAACTGAAATACGAGAAGCGGTGGAAGACGCCAAACCGACTATCCGACTTGAAACCGAGACAAGTTTGTCACTCGTGGACCCGGAAGGTTTCATCGGAAGATCTGAGACGAACAAGACGAGTGTTCAAGTCGGCGTCCAATGGAAAGATGGTTACATAACAGACGTTCGGAGTTTCATAACGGCCACGAAATGGAGCGCAGTATCTGTCATTTCTACTATGTTGCTGATGCTCGAAAAAGCGTACGGGTTCGCGACTCGGATTTACGCTTCTGTTAAATCCGATCGCGAAAAGAAAAAAATTTATCGTCAAAATCAGCAGCGATTGCTGAGTCAGCGGCGAACGAACGGAACGTTGCCAGAACCTGTCGTTTTATCGGAGCAGTCGCCAAAAGCCGAGAAAAAACGAAAACGAAAGCAAGCTGGATTAAAGCAGCGAAATAATGGGTTCGGGTTGGGATCGAAGTTCTCAGCGAAGAGTGCCGAGCAAAATATTATCGGCAACTCAGAGCTTGAAAACAGTGTCTATTTCCCGAGTCAAAATTACTCGGTTAGATCAGCCGATTACAGTTCGTTTGATCGCAATGACGTCTTCAATAACACACGACAGAGTTTACAGAATTTATACAACGGTGATTTTTACGAAAACAGGGGCGAAATTTCCAGATTTGATATGATGCGAGTTGAGAGAAATTTGAGTGAAATTAATTTTATTCTTCAGAATTATCACCAGAACTCTAATGGACGGAATGTCAGCAATGCAAACGGCGCTTTGGGCGTCCATATGTCTATTGATTGCACTAATGGAAAAGTATATTCATCACTGCCGCCGCAGGAGAAATCGTGATTATTTTCCACACTACTACATTTTTGAAGCACAGGCTAAATTTAAATCACATAATTGTAGTTTTAGATACATATCTTCATGTCATTTTTGATAAAGATAAATATGCTTGTTCTGGTCCAAAATGTTTATCTGATTTTTTAATTTTTTAAATCATTCATGTTTGTAATCTATGAGAAGTACTTTATAATCATGGGAAATCAATCAATTGAGTTTATCATAGTTAGTTATTTTTGAATCTTATTGTTCCGACTTTCGATACGAAAGTAGCCGAATACTTGTGCTCGGGGTGGGTTTTTTTTTCTTCAGACAATTTTCGACTGTTTAACTAGCCATTCTTGACCTTTTTTTTGTGTCATTCAAAAGCTATTGTTGTCCTGAGGTTAAATTTGAAAAGAAATTTCAGCTGTGATCATTTTTCGTAAAGCTATGGGGGTTTGAAGATTAACACTTTGGCCAATTCGTGACAATTAACGTGCAATATATTTCGCGCTATTAACGTGAAGGCGGAGATTTAACCCTGAGTTATGACTTATTGGTTATACTCATAGAGTAATTTCAGATAAGGTACACCGTCTGCTTGTCGCGCTATCATATTTTCGGCCGGATAGATTCGTGCAACTTTTTAGTCTAATAACGGTCTTAATTCTACTCTTATATCTCCTAGAATCAATAGATCTAGTGTAGACTGATTTATGCGAGTTAGTTCTTGGAGTTTATCCAGAAAGAGAAAAACTGTATTCAAAGTTTTATTTAAATTGTTCTGGTGCTGACACTACAAGTAGTTTCAGCACTTACAAATAAGTGTAATTGTTAGAGATGGAATATGATTGGATAGTTATAAATATTTTATAGTGATATTCGATCATGAATATAATTGGTCTATGATTACTTGCTTTGAACTGGTTCCACCCATCCGGGTTTAGAGAGTTATTAGTTTTTAATTGTTTGATGTAGTGAAGCATGGGTGATGTAGTTTCTTTTTGAAGTTGCGAGCATTGACTTCTTTGAGAAAGGAGAAGTGTGGCTGTTTGTGTTTGACGGAGGAGGATTGTTTTGTTCGTGTTTCAAGATGGGTCTCGCTGATCGTGGTAGTCTTGGGTAATTGTGTCAAGACTTCTGATCGATGCAATGATAAATCGATTTCGTTAAGTTTAGAGCGAGACTACGTGAAGGGTGAAGTTTGACTTTTCCGTGTGAAGCGCCAAGTGACTAGGATTGGTACGTGTAGTCAACATTGAGATGACCATTGGTCTGGTTCAATGGTTTTCTTTTGCTGTGATTTTGAGTCCATACTTTAAATCCTTTGAGGGTAGTGACTTTAGGCTTCAAATCGAATACATTTGCCATTCCGAAGTTAGAATGTAGTTGGGTTGTCATCTCCTTTGCTGCTCGTTCCTTGGGCTCTAAGAAAATTTATATACTGCATTTATGGTTTACGTATATGTTACCTTTTGTTAATTAAACTTAATTACGATTTGTTACTAATTGTTATCGCAAAAGCGTTTTTCTTTATTTCAGTTGTTTTTTAAAAGTCGCTCACACTAGAGCAGTTTTTGGCGAAAATAGAGTGTGGGTCACAGAGCATGGTTGTAGCGCGGTCGGTTAGGCCGGCTATGTTGCATGCGCATGACGCCATCTGGTTGGTGAGGCCAGAAGTGGGGTTCATTTTTAAGGCCTTTTTGTGAAAAGTCTCTTTTTGTGCTCAACCTTTTGTTTCTTTTTCATTACTTGTTTTTCTCTTTTTTGTTTTGGTTGTGTCCTTTTCTCAAAATTAGAATCTTTTAGTATGGGTTTATCCTTCGACTTTTTGTGTTTTATTTAGTTGTGGTAAAACTTGAAAGTGGTTTTCAAAAGAATAAATTATCCAGTTTTGATCTGGTTTTAATCTTGTTTGCGTACCGTGGGTTTCCTTTCTTAGTCATGCTATTAGTTTGTGGTTTTGTGTCATTAGTAAACTGCGCTGGTTATTTCATTTTATTATATAATTCTTTCCAACCGGGTTAAAAAAAAGTTTGAAACGTTTGAAAATAGGTTAGAGTTGCTATCAGTGAAAGTTGAAACTAAAAATTCATTATTTAAAAAATTCTTTGAGGGCGAGCTGTGCGATTGTGGAAAGAGTGTGTAATTTATGGGCGAGTGAATGATTCAATTTTATAAAAGAAGCGTCTTGTAAATTGGTTAGTACTCTGTATTTTATCTGCAATTTTTTCATGAGTTTACTACATTGTAGTATTAATTATACTGCTTTTGGGCTTTTTAATTTATAAATTTACTGATTGGTAGAAAAGTATTTTACTATTTTGGAGGATTATTTCTGAATTTACTGCTATTTAGAGGTAAATCTTACTCTTTAAGATAATACACCGCAATTTGTTGAAATGAACTGAAAATTTCTAGAAACGAGTTTTCAATTTCTTATTTATTTTTATTTGTTTTAGATGAGGTAGTGATGAAATCTAAAAAGAAAAGTGAAACATTTATAAAGAATGGTGAGTTCTGCTTGGAGTTTATTAGTTAAAACTACTTATTTATACTTACTTAGGGTCATCGTCGGCAAAAAATTAATTTGGGAAAATGTTGTAAGTAGTGTCCGATGATGTTAGGATTTTAGCAAGCAAGCGGGTGATGTATTTAGTTTGTTGGAGAGGCCATAAGTGTTCAAGTGTTTTGATGATCTTTTGCTCTTCACTACCTTGTGGGAATTCGTGCGGCATTTTTTGGATTAGATTATAAAGCTTATGGTTATAATTGTTGTTTTGAATATGTTCTAGGATTGGTACTTCGACGGCTGTATTTATTCTTGGGGGACAATTAGTGGGCGAGATTCATCAACGTTGAAAGATCTGGTTAGGGGGCAGAATATACACATTTGTCTGATGGGGTTTTAGTTGTGTAGGGGTATTGGAAATATTTATAATAAGTGTATAGTTGAGTTTGTTTTGTGCTCAACATTATATGATATGAGCATTGTAAAGAGCGTTCCTTTGGTGTTAGGAAATTGAAAGTTATAAGTTGAAATGGTTAAATTTATTAAAAGAAGGATCGTAGGTTTTTATGTCGCGAAAAGCTGTGGATATAAAATGATCGTAGTTTTTCTTCATGCAGTTAATGACGAATACATATTGAGATTTCATGAAAAATTTTTCAGTTAGTTGGGGGCCAGCGTTAGTATCGTCTTCTCAAAAGGTATCTTTCATATAACGTGCAATAGCGTGATCATGGTGGTTAATGGAAAATTGGTTTGCTTTCTGTGCAACAAGCCTACTTAGTGTTTGAGTTAGTCTGATGGTTGTGAATTTTTCCTCATGAAGTGCTGTGGTTAGGTGATGTAGTCGAGTCTGACACAATTCATTGTCTTCTTGTTTTTTATGTAATGGGAGTGATATTGGGTTGGTGAAATGGTAATATGAGGTCAATGAAAATGTGGGAAACAAGGCATGTTCGTCAACGTAAGTTCGTTGAGTGTTGTTAGAATTTTGTGGAAAAATGGTAAGCACATTTGTAGGAAATCTTTTGTGTTAGTGTGAAGTGGCTGAACGGAAAATATTCAAGGAGGTCGGGGTTGGTAAGCATTGGGGTATTGGGATGTATTCGTTTAAATACTGGAGAGGCTCGGGTTTCTTCAATTGTGGATGCTGGGTTGGAGGATTCGGAGGATGTAATGGTTCGAGATAGGTGATGAAATGTTAGTGTGTTAGGGTTTTGAAGTTGTTGTTGTAGGTAATAAAAATGTCATTTTCATTTTCGAGTTCTTCATCAACGGGGATAGGGTGGTCAGGTGGGTCGCTGGTCATTGGGGAGAGAACTGGAGTTGCATCAGTGTAGGAAGAAGGGTCTGATGAACCTTCATCGGGAGTTGGGGTAAGGAGTGGTCGGAAGGGGAGTTGCGAAAAAGTGGACGGGCTGGGCTCGGAATTTTCGAATTCGTCTGGAGTTTCAATATCAGAATTGCTAAATTGTGGGATGGTATGAAAAACTGTGTTTGTGGAAATGTCATCAGAAACCATGCGTGGTGAATTATAAGTGTAAGATGGTACTAAATATCTATGTATTTGTGAATGCCGTGTCGATTTTTTAATCTGTTGAGTGCCCAATTATGTAGTTTAATACTGTCCAGATGTTGACCAAACAATGGAGGGGGTGCTACAAATATAATCCAATCTAATCGTAGGGGTATACTATTGGTTAATTTTTCTTTATATCTGTCGTCTAAGGTTGTAGCGAAATTTGGAGGAAATGATGTTGTTGGGGTTTGACTTATTGAAGGGTTGAAGGTAGTGATAGGGTTTCTGGTAATGACAAAGATGTTTCCGATGAGATTTCTATAGGGCCGTTTACTAAGTTTGGTTCACCTTGAGTGGAAGCTTGTGTCATCCAATCTGGGAGACGTTGTGTTAGAAGTGGGAGGATAAAAGTATTCTCACGAATTTGTTCGGATGTGGGGGTTGATCCTAAGTAACCCGATGGTTTGTTCGGAGTATTTTGTTTTGAGGTGGATTGTAATGGTGGAGGAGGTATAATTTGTCCATCTATTGGGGTTGTATTTTGGTTTTGACTTAGATGTCTTGTTCTAGTAAGGTCTTGCTGAAGCCAAGGGTATATATTATATGTTGGTTCGTTTTGTGGTTCGCTTAGGGGTGCTTGATGAAATACAGGTTCTAAAGGTTCTGATAATAGTGAAAGTCTTTCCTCAAATGTATATGGGTTTTTTGAAATGAAATACGTGTTGATGATTGAGGGTGATTTGTCTGACTGGATGTTGGTGTTGCCGGAGATTCCTGGGATGTGGTAACCGGTGGGGACTGTTGTATGGGTTGTTGGTTAGCAATTTTGAAAATTTCTTTAAAATTTTTACCTATGAAGAAAACATATATTGATTATAATTTTCTTCTATGAAAATGATTAGAAGTATCTTTGCTAATGCAAAAGTCGTTATTGCCTTTTTTATACATTTGCATATTGTCAGAATTAGCAATATCAGAATTAGAAAAATATCACTAAAAGAAGAGAAACGTCTTTTTTGTTGAATGGATGTCCTAAAAATTAGATAGTTGTTGAAATATCGTACGTGAAGAGGTGGTCAAGGATTTTTGCAAAGTTGATGTATGCTTTTTGCAGTGAATAGGAAAAAAACGAAAAAATTGCAAAAATTTATGTAAAGTAAAATATTTCGAAGGTTTCTATAAT